CTTCTTGTCTCTCCACTGCTCCTCTATTCTCACCATTTCTCTTCTTTCCTCTTCTCCTTTCTGTGTCTCCTCTCTCCTCTGCTCTTCTCTTGTCTGTTCCTCTCTCCTCACAAGGTATCCTCTCTCAGCTCTTCTCTCCTCACAGTGACTACTCGCTCTTCTCTACTCCTCTTTCCTCTGCTGCTTTCTCCTCCTCTCTCCTCCCTGTGTCTCCTCTGCTCCTCTTCTCTGCTCCTCTCCCCTCTGTTTCTCCCTCTTTTGCTCCTCTGCTCTTCTCTCATCTGCTCCTCTCTCCTTACAGAGTCTCCTCTGCTCCTCTTCTCGTCTCTCCACTGCTCCTCTCCCTTCTGTTTCTCTCTCTTTTGCTTCTCTCTCATCACTGTGTCTCCTTGTCCTCTGCTCCTTTCTGTGTCTCCTCTCTTCTCTGCTCTTTTGTGCTCCTCTTTCCGCTCTGTTTCTCTCTCTTTTGCTCCTCTCTTCTCACCGTTTCTCCTCTTTCCTCTGCTCCTTTCTGTGTCTCCTATCTCCTCTGCTCTTCTCTCGTCTGCTCCTCTCTCCTCACTGTGACTCCTCTCTCTTCCCTGCCCCTCTTTCCTCTTCTCTCCTCCCTGTGTCTCCTCTGCTCCTCTCCTCGTCTCTCCACTGCTTCTCTCCCTTCTGTTTCTCTCTCTTTTGCTCCTCTGCTCCTCTCTCCACACCGTTTCTCCTCTCTCCTCTGCTCCTTTCTGTGTCTCATCTCTCTTCCTCAGCCATTTCAGGCACAATCAAAAGACAGGAATCAATACGGAGACGTGGAAAGAGAAATGGGACCACCCCCTGTCTTCTCTGTCCTCCTGTACACCGCTTTGTCTCACTTTGTTTTCCTCGGACCCGCGTCCCGTCTCCCCTCGGGTTTATGCGGATGACAAACGCGCTCCCTTCTCTGTTCACGAACGCCAGCAGCCCGGAGCTCACGCACAAATCCGTCACGGGCCGGGCCAGGTCCAGGAAAGCCACTGCGTCCCCCGTGTCCCCGCTGTGAGGGACATAAGATCCGTCCTTCAACCTGAAGCCGTGCGCGCTCTGCTCTCCCCAAGCGAACATGTCTGCGCGCTCTGGGTTTGGGTTTGTGCGTGTGCCCGGTGCGCACAGCTGATTAAACTCAGAGGAAACCGAAACTTAAGGAACGCTAGCAGGGAATAGAAAATGAAACTTAATCAAAACAAAACACATGCAGGTTCAATAGAGGTTTAAGAGAAAGTTAGCGCAGACCTCGGTGTTTGAATTTAATAATACTAATGTGTGATATTATGTGTATCAGGGGGTCTGGGGTCCTCACCAAGGCAATTTTGGACAATTACTGTATTTCATTGCATTTTAGAGGCCTATTAAGCCATAGTACAGTAGTCTACATTAATTTTTTCATTGATTATTTTTCTGACAGTGTCTATGTCCCCTGTCCCTGCTCCTGTCACTTCTCACAGACAGAAGGCTTCAGTGATTCAGAGGAGGAACACTACAAACATGAGCCTTTATCAAGACGTCTCAACACATGCTTTTTTCCTGTATTTATTCTGTATTTATCCTGTATTTATTCTGTTTTTATCCTTAATTTATGCTGTATTTATTCTGTATTTATCATGAGATCCTGCTGCTGAACTATCCCCGTATCGTATCCTACGATTAATGAAAGTATCGCCGCTAATATTAGGTTAGTTTTCCTCAAATAAAACGTGGTGTAGAGCTTGACACATGAAGAACTGCGTCATGATCCTCCAACCTCTCCACAGTAGCTAACAGGCCTTCATTAATACGCTTGATAAATGTAGGTACGTAAGGAGCGGTCTGTGCCCTCTGTGAGCGCGCACGGGAGCGACGAGGGGAAAGGTGCAGTGGAGACACACGGTGATTAAAAGATATTATTCTAGAATAGATTCATGATTGTAGATTCATAATTGTATGATTGTATGATTATATGTTATCGCCAAAACTAAGTGTCCCACTCAAAACTGGCAATTGATAGAGTCAAAATCCCAGACATTTTGGCATAATTTAGAAAAAGAGCACGTCTGGTCACCTACGCCATAGTAATTCTTACTCAGTAGCTACAGGTTTATGGATTTGTTGTATGGAATCCAGAATACACACTTCTTCAATACTTTAAAACATACAGAGATCTCATTCTGTATTATTTGCAGGTAAAGATTCGCCTCTATGTGGAGGCAGACGCACTTTCATGTCTTCATCCACACATTGTTCAGCCTGTGCCATTAAAAGTGTTGAATCTGTCAGTCTTGTAATTAGATCTGTACCACTAGATCGGTGCATCATTTAGTGTGGTCTATACTTTAAAGATGCACTGTGTAACATTTCTAGTGGAGTGTCCGCCACCTTCTTGTATAGTATAAATTAAACCTGTCTATCACGAGGGAAACAAGGCTGCATTACAATTCAGATTCACAGAAGGAATTGATATGTTATTGCAACAGAAATCCCCGCAGTGAATAAATGCTTAAGACTGCAGTAAAGTGACCTTTGAAAGTACATTATCTCCCTGTGGGCCTAAAGTCATAATAGAGAGTTTGGCTAATTCTTCAGTTTGGCCTATAGGCCTATACGCCTAAATTAAGTCATTGAAACAATTAGTAAGAATGATTATTTATGTGCAGTTTGGACAATGTTGTTGTTGGTCCTGCTGCATTCCCATATAACACCACTAGATGCTGTCTGCATTACTGCTGCTTGTCATAAAGACAAAGCTTTGAGGAATTTAGGTTTAGGAATGAAATGTTTGGCTTGAAGGATAAAAAAAAGTGTACAATTAATATATTTTGGGATTTTTATCATAAAAAATCATTATTAGAGAGGACTAGACTGAGGTGTGTGGACCATTGCGAATCAGAATGCTTATAAATATAGTTTTATTTGCCATGACTTGAAATCTGATGAGTGCAGTTCTCTCAGCTCGCCACACCGCGTCGCTGCTGTCCTCTCCGCTGTCTATAAACTTCCGCCTGTCAGAGCCGGTGGTTCTCTTCCGCCGCGATCCGAATTCAACATGGTGCGTATCCTAAGAAAAGCCTCTCCCAGCCCCTCAATCCGCACCCATCCTGTGTCTGTGTTCGTCTGAAAAGCGTATACGAACATAAACCCGCTCTCTGAAGTCACGTAGAGCCTAAAAGAACACTTTGGATGCTAAACGTGGAGAATTAAACCCTAGGATTGAGCGCTGCCAGATCTGTACACAGGACTGGCTAATAGCTACAGAGTTTGTTTACAACGTGACTCCTAACAAATCTGACAAATGCCCCACATTATGTCTAAAACGTATTTGTCTTACTGCACAAAATTACTCTGAAATCAGCTAGTGGTATTTTATTTCTATAGTACATCACTAAAATAAGACTTTCCTGGCTCCTGATCCTCCTGTGATGCTGTTTTGGATTGTCCTTGTTTTGCTAGAAGACCACTTTTTATTAAACACATGCTCTTTGCATAATTACTGTATTTGGGGCGTAGTAATAGCAGTGTCAAGATGTTCCTACCTGATTTCTGATAATTTTGTGTAAGATTTAAAGCCGCAAAGTGTCACTTTTGTGGCAGAGGGGTCAGCTCCAGGTTGTCTCTAGAAATGTTATTGCTGTGCCTGGAAATGTTCCATTTATTCCTTTATAGCTGTTTAATGCTAATTCCTTGACACACTAAGTTGTTACTCAGATTTCATGTTCTTCTGTGAAACATTTTAGACAAAGCAGTTATATTTCCATGGCACCAGGAAAGTGTCACAGTGTACCTTTTAATAGTCAATGCAAATGGAAAAAAAAGCCTAATTGAGCTATTGATTTGGCTTCACTAAAAAATTGTATAGTGCAAGTACAGGTGAGTGTCACTGAGGCATAAAACCTACTGGTTGTATTACAATATTCAAATTGTGACACGTTTGAAATGACAATTCTGTTTGATTTATTTATTTTTTATTCAGTTTGAGTACAAGAATCGGCATACTGAATGTCTCTTCTCTTGATAGGGGCGTGTTAGGACAAAGACTATAAAGAAGGCCTCCCGGGTCATTATCGAGAAGTACTACATGCGCCTGGGCAGTGACTTCCACACCAATAAGAGAGTGTGTGAGGAGATCGCCATCATCCCCAGCAAACCTCTCCGCAACAAGATCGCAGGGTAAGCACGGTCTCAGCGTTGACCCCTCTGTACTCTGAAGGCCTGTGTCCTGTACTAGTGAGGGGAGATGACACCTCAAGGGTCAAACACTTTTCAAACTGGCATGCCATTGACACTGTGTTCCCACGTTCCATAGCACCATCTTGTGGTTTAAAAAATGAACTGCTTTCTATGCTGAAGCATTCACAGAACTTGGAGACACGTAAACATGTGTGCGAGATGTGCTCTGATATCCAACAAATGAAAGAACAGACTAGGTAATGCATTCTCATTGCATTAAAGCAAATGACAGCCTATTATACTATAAAGTAGGTTGTAAGTGACACTATGAAGAGGTGAATGGTTGTGAAATTGAAATGCTGTCCCTGGGGTGAGCTCATTCTGAAAACTCCAGTCACAAATGTGCAGTAAAGATTTGTTTGGTTGTCCAAGTAGGGCTGTAGGCCTTTAATCGATAACTCCGTCAGTATAAAATTAAAAAGGGCCTGAAGCACACAAGGGGTTTACAGAAATGTCAGTAGCCTTAATGTCATGGCAAAAGTAAAAAAAAACAAATGTGTTTCAGCCTTACTGGACTTTCTTTCATCAGGGCATGTTAAAAGGGCAAAATGGCTGCCAGAACTCAGTCAGTGTGTCTCAGTCGACCAGAATGTGTATTAGTCGACTAATCACTTTATTTAGATTATAAGGATTTCTATGGGACAGCAGCAGAAATGAGAAGTTAGTGATGTGAAGTTGAATACATTTTTTCCAAGGTTTTCAACTGCGGTGCAGGTGTAGTCTTGCTTGTGACTGCAGTTTGGTTCATACACAGAGAGTCTTGTAAATTGTACAATGATTTTGAGCAAACTTTGTGTTGGATGTTGATAAACCTGTTAATCAAATAGGCATTTTAGAAATATTTAAATGAGCTGGGTATTAGAGCATTTTGAACTTTGCTTTAAATGATGAGTGAGAAATGGGTTGCCATAGCCCTTTCCAAATCAACTGCAGGCATATTCTTAAAATCTGGAAGTATGTTTGAGATCTTGCATGTTGTTCAAAAGCCCATCCCAGGATTGTGTAATATCTCTACTCTGCTCAATTTCTTAAAGGTGCATGTATGTAACTTTTCATTTGGGGGTCTATCACCTTCTTGTTTTTATGGATATGTCATTGTTCTGCTTTGAATGTTCCACAATGGCATTAAACATATCTACCTTACATTTATTCAATTACAGGCTCAAAAATACCCCCCAAAAGTAGGCAAGGCAAATTTATGTGTATAGCACAATTCTTACACAAAGTAATGCAAAGTGCTTTACAGAAAAAGAAATACAATAAAAACAAATCAAACCATAAATAATCATCCTAAAATTAAAAAGAGAGAAACTGAATTAGAGAGAAGCTGAATGAAAAATGAAAACCTTTCAGTCAGATGCAGCTAAACAAAAAGGTTTTGAGCCTGGATTTAAACAGCGTCAAAGCAGAGGCCTGTCTTAGATGTTCAGGAAGACTGTTCCAGGTTTTAACTGCATGAATCTGAAACTTACTCCCCGTGTTTAGTCCTGACTTTAGGCACCAGCAGGAGGCTGGTCCCAGAGCTCCTCAGAGTGCAGATGGTTCATGTGGCACTAACATGTCACAGATGGACTTTGGTGCTGAGCCATGTAGAGACTTGTACAAGTAAAGTCTTTTCTCTGAGCCACAGGAAGCCAGTGCAGAAACCTGAACACAGGACTTGTGCTCATGCTTCCTAGTTCGAATCAGGACCGATGCTGCAACGTTCTGGGTGTACTGCAGCGTCTCACAGCTCCTTTGGAGAGGCCACTGACATGCTGTTACAGTGTCTCCAGTTGGTTAGACTAAACACGTAGATAAGTCTCTCCAAGTCTGCTTTAGACAGGATACAAGACATTCTGACTGTGAGCGGGGGTCTCCTCTCCACAGATCTGACCTGTAACTTAGTCTGGTCTCCATGAAGATAAAGGTTTGATGCCATTCTGTGAAATATTCCAGGCAAAGCAATAACATTTCCATGGAGAAAAGCATTTGACGGACCCTCCACCAGAAAAGTAACGCAATGCACCTTTTAAATTTAAAAGAACTAGCTTTGTCCTGATTTTATTAAGCACCATGTGTGTTTGCAGTTTGAGTCAACGTGCACTTCCTCTCAGAGATGTGATAATATTCGTGCAGTTTGTCACAAGTGACAATTGTGTGGCATTCAATTAGATGAGGGATTTAAAATGACAGGTTTGGATTACACATGTGCAAAGTAAACTTGACTGGGACTTGTGCTGCAGGTATGTGACACACCTGATGAAGCGCATCCAGCGCGGTCCAGTCAGAGGCATCTCTATTAAACTGCAAGAGGAGGAGCGCGAAAGGAGGGACAACTACGTCCCCGAGGTATGTGCACACACTTACAGCTCTAAACTCTATTGAACCACAGTTAAGGCCGTTCAGACCAGAGCGTCAGGGCGTCCAGTTTATATGCACAGTCTATGTGGATGCATGTCTAGGGCGTCCTGCATTCTGACTGCGCGTCTTGAGTGTTCTGGCGTTGACACTCTAGATGCACGTACTTGAATTGTATGAATGCTGCTGGCAGTACACTGTGCAGTTATTAAGCAAGTTGTATTCATGAGGATTAATTGAACAACTACAGTGCTCTCGGTCAATCCAAAATGTTAATAAACCTCAAACCTGAATATTCAACTATGAATGTGCAGAATTATTACGCATCTGATGGCTCTGTGATCACGCCCCAATATCTCTGTAATTTCAAGATTTCAAGAGTGCTGCATGCTGCTGAAAGACTTTTTTTTTTTTTTTTTTTTGACTCCTCAGTCTGTATAATCTCTTTTTTTGGCCCATTTTGCCAGAGGAGAAGCTGCCTTGACACCTTGATATATAGGGTGTTGATTTCTTCAGGCCAGTCTCCTTCCTTAGATAAATACACATCACTGGAAATGCTTAAATTCAATAAGAATTCAAGTTTATACAGCTTGGCGTTGAAGAATATGCATACAAATCTTTATGGTGAAATAGTCACTTGCCTCATAATTGTGTGCACATTGTATGTATAAAGTAGAACTAGGCATTGTTGCTTTGCTAAGAGACCACTTAAAACTGGACTGAACAAAACACATGAGTTTAAAAAAAATATATATATTTTATAGGCTTTTCAACTCTAGCCAAATCTGGTTAATTTTCATGTTTTAGGCTTGGTTAGATATTCCGTCAAACTAAATCTTTGTGTGTGTAGATCTCTGCTCTGGACCAAGAGCTCATTGAGGTGGACCCAGACACAAAGGAGATGCTCAAGATGATGGTAAGTGCCCAGTGACTTGTCTGCTCTTGTCCTTTTCAGTGTCCTGTTTATAGCTTCATTTTCTTTGCAGGATTTCGGCGGCCTTTCAAACCTCCAGGTCACCCAGCCCACGGTCGGCATGAACTTCAAAACACCAAGAGGACTGTAAACATGTTCAAAGTGCTCAAATAAAATGTTGAAGGGAATGTGATGTGCCCAGTCTTTTCTACAGTTCAAGAGAACCTACTTAATTCATAAGTTTGACAATTTTTTTTTTTTAAACCTTTCAGCCATGGCCCCATGGTAACAATAGGGCTACTTCATTTTGCAGGTTGTTTTCTGTACAGAGGTAAAGAATTCCTTTTCCAAACCAACAAATGGAAATCTACATTTAAGATTCAAGGGTGCTAATGCATATTTACCCTCAGTATCTAGGGACCCAAAACTTTACCTCCATAAGGATCCTGACCTACATGTTGAACCACTGCATTAAACTTGTCATTCCGTTGATTTAGCTTAAATAGTACATTTATGTGCAGTTTTTCCTTCTCCAATTACTGAGAAATGCAGAACAGCTGAGCTTTATGAAAATACCATAACTAATCTGGATTCTTATAAATACAGGTGATTTAGTGTATGTAAAAAGTTCTAGATTTAAGTAAACTGCATAAAATGCAAACACTTTACCTTTCATTACAATTGTCAAAATTTACCCTTTGGCCTCCACAATGCAGGTATTCTAGTGTGTCACCTAAAACGTTCAAGAAATGTTGGAAATCATGCTTGAAATGTGAAATGACACATTAGAGGTTAAGTATATAGAAACAGCCAATTTGAGAGATACTAAAAAATACTGCAGTTAATGTAAAATTTTAAAGCTATTACAAAAAAAACACTACAACCAGAGTAATGCTTAAACACCTTTATTGTGCCCAATCTGAACATACTCCGCAACAGTAGTAGCAGCAAACTTGGCAGACCACAATGAGGTAGACTTTCAAAACTCTAAAAGCAGCTGGGCTTAGACACCAGCTCAGCGTGACAACCGAATGGAGACAGAAGACATGTCATGTCTTTGGCACACAGCTTCATACCAGAACAGGAAGGCATATGGGTGGGAGGAGCATGGGAGAATCATTGAGTGAGGTCTACACAAGTTTGGAATAGATCGATTCATTTATCAGCAGAGTGGAAGTTCTTACACTCAGCAGGAAACAAGCTGTAGTCTAGATAGGTTCCTCTGCTGATGTACAAAAGTGATTAAAAACCACAGCCACCTCCCAAGTGCAAATTAAAAAGTGCAACAAACTATGTACAATCAAAACATGAATTCACTCGAGTCTCAACAAGATCCAGCAGTTGATTTAAAATTAGGTTAACCAGTTAAAGTGTATTTAGTACTATTGTTACATTTAATATAAACTGGACTGACAAAGTTAAAGTAGTACTACCAACACTCAGTGCCCATTCTGTTGAAAATTGAGGGCAAATTAAAATATTAATCGTTAAAGAAAAAACATACGACTCAAAATGAAAAATAAGAGGGTGTCCCCATCAACAGCCGCCTGGTAGAATCCTGTTCAAAATTCTCATGTTTCGACTTAAAACCGTGGGTACAAATTAGTAAAAAACTGCGTAAAAATGTCTGAAATGCGACTGGTTAAATGAAGGCCAACGTTCAACTCCAGAAACACCAGTTGGCTTGCAGGGAAAAAAAGACCAACTGGGGAGGGAGAAGGAAAACTAAAAATTTAAAGGCACTGTATGGCGTTTGCCGTTGAAAGGCAATGAGACTGGCGTGATCGCTCTTCACTATGCAACATAAAAAGTAAAAGAAAAACGGCATTCCCATCTGCCCAACTCTAGGCCGACTCCCACCTTTCTGTCTGGCCACAAGTTAAGAAAATGCATAAACGTGAAGGGCCCCTTGTCTCCAACAAGGTCACTGTGCAAAGTGCCACTGTGAACAGCAAAAAAGATCAAGTGCAAAAGTGAACATTTCTACAGTGAAATCCCCAGTGCCTGGTGCAGGGCCGGGCTCGGGCTGAGGCCTGGCTCTGGTGCTCTCTCGGCGGGCAGCAGCATCACTCCGATTGGAGCGCTTCATTTGGCCCTTGGGTGTCCTCCTGCTCAGCTCTAGCTCGACTCGCGATTCTTCTGGTTGCGCATCAGGGGCCGGTGGTTGCTCAAGATGTCCATGGAGTGTTGCCAGTGCCAGCAGGAGCGGCAGTAGTACTTGAAGCAGGCCTGCAAGCACAGTAGAGTCACATGTAAATGTCAGCATGCCAACTAGATTCACAATATATCAATATCACAATATTGTCGATGTCATCCAGCTGATTCAAAATGGAAACCTTAAAAAATGTGTACAGCACTCATTTTCCCCAGTGTGAGGCGGTGATACTGACCTGGTCCCTGCAGAAGAACGGCCCAGGCTGACGAAGGCAGACTTGACACATGGAGTCCTCCAGATAGGGGTCGATCTGCACCTGAAATGGTAAAACAAATAGTAAACTATAGTCATGTTTGAAATTACTTGACACCCACCTTTTTTGTAAACTTGGGCGTTTTTATTTCTACAAAGGCAGCACACACAGCCTTCAGGTAACTCTGCTGATTATTAAACGTGACACGTCCAGAGCCTGAGGAGCACAGCAGTTAGCTTTATGTGCCATGAGAACATTAGTGATGAAGCATGGGTGCACTTACCTATGGGGTACTTGTGCTTGTCCGTGTCAATGCCCGCGTACATGACTCCTCCAAACAGGTCGTTCATGATACTGGCCAGAGCCTCTGCGTTCAGCATGCCATGAAGGGCCCCCACAAAAACAGTCTTACTGGGGTCCAAGCGCTGAGCAGGGCAGCGCACATAGTTACTGTCCGAGATCACCCAGGGGATCACCTGCACCTAAAGGCCAAAAAACAAATCGTTGTCATATGGTAAATACTCAAACAAGCACAAGACTCAGTGCTAACAATCTGACTTACATCTTTGCATCTCATTCTGCGACTGGACATCTTAAAATAATACTCTCTGTTATCCTCTGGGTGGAATGGGTCCTGGGAGCATGCACGCAGCAATGCCCTCACTGACTTCTCATTCTCAAAGATCAGGTAGACATAGCCTACAGACAAAGGTCCACTTTAGAGCACAACCACAACAGGTTTAGTCAGCCATTACAATTACATTTACAGTTCAAAGGCATTAGATTACCAAATGTTGGGTTTTAACTTTGTGCTCCAATCCCAAACTATTTTTAATCCATGTCCCCAGGCCTCTTGTGCATGTTATTTTAGTCCTATGGCAAACACCAGTGCTCCCCAAACACCAGTAAAAATGGAAAAAGCCTACCAGCTTGTCGTTACCTTTGGCCACATTACCTTTGGGAGGACAGCGAGGGTGCTTGCCATCCTTACCCGGCCACTCCACACTCAGAGGGCCATAACTGCTGAAGGTGGCAATCAGACCAGCTGAACAAGCAAACACATGGGATTTAAAAAAACAATGCATTAACACAAACTGGTTCAAAGGGGTTTGAGCTCCATCAGCACAGGGCACAAATAGAAGAGGATTAAGGACAAACCATTCAAACAGTGTAGCTCTACTTGCCAAAATGCATTTTCCACAGAAATCTGGTTCCTTGAGACTGCACTATGCTACAGTGATAACTCTTAAAGACTCTTCAAAAAGTCTTTCTGCAGTGCTTTAACAAGAGACCACTGGTGCAAGTCTAAAGCAGCTTCTACCACATTTGACCCACTATTATTCAATAGACAAATCTTACATTCTGTAATGTCCCAGGGCACTCCACCCAGAAAGACTTTGCAGGAGTAGAGTGGATCCTTGTTATTTCTTGGAGGCAGCTGGCCGCTCCAGGTGAAAGTGGCTTCATTCACAGCTTATGAGACAAACCACAGTCAGTGTGGCGGTACAGTGGTTGTACATGGGGTGTGTACATGATGTAAAGAGGTTAGTGCCACGTTACCTGCTGCCTGCCTGTGTAGGCGTGCCTCACGCTCAATGCTGAAAGCATCCGACTGGTCCAGGACATCAGATCCAGGCCAGGGAGAGCCCGAGCGCCAGCGACGGGACAAAGCTGAGGAGGCGGGACTGGCCCCAGGGGGAGGGGTCAGCGGGGAGCTAGTGTCCTGTGGATCCAGACGGGAGCCCAGCCTCAGCAGGTCCTTCTGAATGTTGGACGTGAGGTAAGGCAGGGGAGGAGAGATGCGCAGAGTGGACTGACACCACATGGTTCATGTTAAACATTTAATATTTTTTCACCATTTGAATGTAAATGCGACATACCAACATGTCACAGAGGTGGTCTGAACCAGAGCTGAAGCCGCTGGTCTCAGAGTCCTCTGGGCTGCTGGAGCGAGAGTCCAGAAAAGAGCTGGAGTCCAGTCTGTGCGACGCCATGCGAGCCATGCAGGGAAACTTCTCCAGGAAGTCTGCAGTCATGCCCATTGACTCAGGGCACAGGTATCCAGGGGGCTTCCCAAGGATCCCACTGAAGGGGCTGTTCAGCATACCTAGCACTCACAGGACAGCCACAGCGTTACACACAAACATGACTCAGGGGTTTAAAGGGTCAGTCACCATGGAGACAAACACTAGCTTTGAACATCCCTTTTGCCTGATGAGCAAACTGATGAAAGTGGGATGTAATGACTGATTCATCACTGACCGACTAGAAATCCTTTGACCACAGCCACACACTATTTGGCAGTTTAGTCTAATGTTATATTTGTTTTCAATAGTTAAATAAAACTAAATGATTTACCTTGTAAAGAAAACCATCACCCTTATCTCAAACACTACTGTAAGCGCGCACACAGCAGTCTGGCCCATTTGCTAGACCTAGTTTAGAAGTTGGGTCACCCAATAAATAATGTTAAAGCAGAACAGTACATGACAAATTCAGTATAGAAAAATCTATCAGGAATAAGAGTGGCATCTTATCCCTGTGGCAAAGGCAGCTAAGATAAAACGTGTAAAGTAAAGCCATACATCTATACAGCCAATTTAAAATACAATACATGTGTAAGACAGCACAAAGCTAGAGGCGCTGCCAGCCAAAAGTGCCACATCATTGTCCTTTGTAACAATACATTCTGTTCCTGCACAGTCATTCTCAACCGTTCTTCCAAAAACACTGCATGAAGAGTCTTTGTCTGGTCCTACACGTGACCCTAAACCCTGCTGTGGTACTTACTGGAGGGAGAGCTGGTCTGGACCTGAGAGGGCGAGGGCTGTGCATCAGTGTCCTGACTGCTCCATGGTCTGTCCCAGCCCGACAGGCGCAGGGACTGAAGGCCCAAGCCCAGGTCAGTGACACCCAGCTGGCCCCGGGGGGACGCCATGTCCTGGGAGACTCCACAGTTTGGGAAAAGCATCCTTCTGCTGCCCACCGCAGCCAGCTCCGACTCTGTTTAAGGCACATCCAACAAAGTCTTTAAACAATAGCCACATTACACAGCAAATAATGTAGACGCTCAGACACTCAGCACCACCCCCTTGCTCTGTCCAGAGCTGCTAACCTGCTGCCTCTGTGCCCGGTGCGCCTGCCATGCATTTCTGTGCGCATCACTGACCCACCTAGCAGCATGTGACATGGCTGCCGATGCACTCGCACACCCCTGCTAATGACATCAGCTCTCCCACCTCCCTGCCTCCCAGCCCAGCTACTGTAATGAGAAATTCCAGTCAGAGCAGTGGGATTGTTGATAGAAGCGCTCCCTCTCTGAAGGCACAGCACGTCTCTTAGGCAGAGGCTGCTGCGTACTCTGTCTAGCCTGGTTTCCAGAGGCAGGGGAGAGAGGGAGGGGAGAGGGAGGGCCGAGCTACAGCAGCACGGCGAGGGGCAGCATGGGAAAAAAAAAAAAAAAAAACAAGAGCATGACTCAGCACATTATAACAAAAAGTACACTAGATAAATAAAGTCTGGGGGAAATAGTGTACGCCTTGTTTGGAACATGAACAGACAAGAGGTTTGCTGTGGCAGAAGCAGCTGACTGATCAGATGTTGAGGAGTGAGTGGTTTGCCCCTTCTGTCCAGGCCTGGACTGTTTCCAACTGCAGCCTGATTCAGCAACAGCACAGGAACAGCAGATGCCACACCACACACCTCCCACTGCAGATATGACATGCTTATAGCACTGCTTCAAGCTACATGTGACACTTAAAACAATTCTTGCATATGGTATTGAGGAACTATATTGTAAGTTTGTAAGTTACATTTGAAAACAGCAGTGCTGATGGCAGCAGTGCACCATGAATCAGCTTCTGGCACTCTGGTTAAAATGACAAGGTGAAAGAGTGCATCAAGTGTAGAAAATGTGCTTTTTGGCATCTATTCATTAAAACCATTGCAACACTGGAGCTTTAAACATCAGGATCAAAAAACAGAACCACTTCTCACGAGACACCTCAAAATGTAGACTAGTAAATAGAAAGGCATAGGGTCATTGCCCTGACTTACATCCTCAATATTCTCATTTCTATTAATATGCAGACAAGTCCGGACGTAGTCCGAAACGTTCAACATCAATATTGACAGCTTTGTGTTAAAAGTTCTAAGAAAGTTTGACTTCTGGAAAATGTATTGCTGCATTCATTCATGGGTCAAAGGCTTCCTTGGCCTTTGCTGTGACACATACCACACAGTACGTCGGGCTTGCCCTTGGCGGGGTTAGGAGTGGTGCACACCCCGGTCAAGTCCAGCGCGTTGCCCAACATAGTGTTCATCCTGCGGAAGATATCTGCGTTGCTGCAGGTGGACAAGGCCGGAGACTCAGTGTCAGGGCTCTCAGGCCTGTGGGAGTCGTTTCTCTGCAAACCAAGCAGGAATTAGGAACAGACCATGTGTATACAAATGACACGCAATGACAGAAAAATGCTAACTCCACTTTGTTAGGGAGAAAAAATAAATAAACCAGGGGCCACCACAGACACCATGTGCGGGTGAAACTAATACAAAACTTTATTAGAACGGAGATTTTTCTTTTACACTCACCAGGGAAAACGCCATGTCGTGGACAACTAAGAATTAAAAAAATAGCGACATTAGCAGGCTGCAGAAAAGAGCCATATTTCTGCCTTTTAGCTAGCGCTTCATTAGGCTCAATTTGGAGAACGTGTGCTCCGCCAATGGCCTCCGCGCGCCCCCTCCCACTGTTCACGTGCTATACATCAAAGGCCTCACCGCGGCTCGCGGCCAATCAGAGAGCGCACGAGACTGACCCACCACAGCACATACACAGCACAGGGCACCCAAATACACCCAAATACACCCAAATACAGCCGTGTGCACCCAAATACACTCATATATATCTGTGTGCACCAAAAGACACCCAGCTACATCTGCGTGAACCCAAATATATCCAAAAACATCTGCGTGCACCCAAATACACCCAAATACATCTGCGTGCACCCAAATACACCCAAATACATCTGCGTGTACCCAAATACACCCAAGTACATCTGTGTGCACCTAAATACAGCCAAATATTTCTGTGTGCACTACAAAGTTCTGCACAGTGCACCCAAAACATCTGTGTACACTGTGCACTACAAAGTTCTGCACAGTGCACCCAAAACATCTGTGTACACTACAAATTTAGGTTCAAACCTCTGGATGAATTTCATTTTTTCAAAGAAAGAACATGTGCTTACTGTTGCTTTCAGTGCAGTGTCGATAATGATGGCATTCAGCTTCTTGAATGTGATATCATAGTCCCATACGGGACGGATATTTGTATAAGAAATATCTGAAAGGAAAATTAGCTGATCACTTCTATGAGTGACCCTGATAACTTGAACTTCCAATATGTTGTAACAAAAGGTTTTACAATATCTATTTTTTGTCTGAGCCACATCACATGTTAGCGTATCATGAGGCCTATCAAATGTGGCAACAGAAGTGGAAATTCAACAATGAATGACTTTGGTGATGTCTAAGTGTAACCTGTAACTACTCTACAATTTATTTATTCAATATGCCCTCAACACATTTGTAAATCTAACTTTTATTGCAATTCATAAATTGGAATTTTGGAAAATGTATGAAAATTGATGCTCTTTAACCACACAATTGCAGTTTTCGTTTTTGCATATATTTATTACATGTTGCAAATTACATGCTGCTGCACAGACATATACATTGATTTTTCAAAGTGTAGTGCAAAGAATAAACGCAAAGGGGCAGCATTTGACCATGATTCAACTGTGTAAACTTCTTACAAATATTTTTTTTCAAAACTATTATTACATTACTATTATTACTATTACATATATGTAAATATAATAATGTAATAATAAACGTGTGTAAAAAAAAAATATATATATATATATATATATATATATATATATATATATATATATATATATATATATATATATATATATATATATATATATATATATATATATATATAGATAGATAGATAGATAGATAGATAGATAGATAGATAGATACCGGGAAAAACAATGGACATCTCAGTCCAGAAAAGTGCAGTACTGGGGACAGCAAAGATACTGCGCAGAACTCTCAAGCTCCCAGGCCTCTGGTAGAGGACCCGAGCTGAATGAGGGTGAGAGAGACCTACCACCGTGGAAGGTGAGAAACACATTTATATATATATATATATATATATATATATATATATATATATATATATATATATATATACAAGACCCACGGTGTAGTAGACTGTGCAAAGAGGCTCCTGAGACAGTCCAGCACATAACTGCGGGGTGTAAGATGCTGGCAGGGAAAGCATACATGGAGCGACATAACCAAGTGGCGGGCATAGTGTACAGAAACATCTGTGCAGAGTACGGGCTGGAGACCCCAGGATCAAGGTGGGAAACACCTCCAAAGGTTGTGGAGAATGACCGAGCCAAGATCCTGTGGGACTTCCAGATACAGACTGACAGAATGGTGATGGCGAACCAACCAGACATAGTGGTGGTGGATAAGAAACAGAGCAGAGCCGTGGTGGTTGACATCGCAATACCAAGCGATGGTAATATCAGGAAAAAGGAACACGAGAAGCTAGAGAAATACCAGGGGCTCAAGGAAGAGCTGGAGAGAGCCTGGAAAGTAAAGGCATCAGTGGTGCCTGTGGTGATCGGAGCACTCGGGGCTGTAACCCCCAAACTGGAAGAGTGGCTACAACAGATACCGGGAAAAACAACGGACATCTCAGTCCAGAAAAGCGCAGTACTGGGAACAGCAAAGATACTGCGCAGAACTCTCAAGCTCCCAGGCCTCTGGTAGAGGACCCGAGCTGAATGAGGGTGAGAGAGACCTACCACCGTGGAAGGTGAGAAACACATTTTTTTTTTTATATTATAATATAAATTTTTATTACACAAGTTTATTATTACAAAATAGAAAGTTTACAGCATTTATGGCCTGTAAGTTCCACATGAGTGTATCAGAGCAAGCAAAAAAAATTCAAATGTGATACAATTAATATTTAGGCTACAAGGGAAGTAAAGTTCATGGCCTGGGTAAGCGTTTGTATCCATAAAGTTCACAGATGAGAAAAAATATCTTTATAAAAAGTGTTAGTAGTTTCAGTAGATTTTAGGAATCGGAAAAAAAAAAAAAAAAAAAAAAAGATAATGCGTGCTACATCCATGCCACCAGCAGAGGGCGCAGTAAGTTGACACGCAGCCCCGCGCTCCTCTAACTGCTTCCGGATCTCTAGTCTACAGTTTTGGCACTGGTGTGGGGATCAAACACTACCGCTGCTACTGCTGTTTTTTTGTCTTGTATCCGTGTCAAAATGTCCTATAACTACGTGGTGACGGCGCAGAAGCCCACGGCCGTGAATGCCTGTATCACCGGTAAGAGCGGATCGGCGGCGGGGCTTTGTTGGGGGGATGTTTGGGTCTGTCCACCTGCGCACATCTCCGTGATCCCGCGCCACTTGTACAGCTCCACGGGCCTGCTGCAGACGTTAGCCTCACACAGGCTAATGTTTACCTATTTTGCCTGCATAAAATACTAGTCATGCAAGCGGTTCACTTGCGATCTAACCAGTGTTCTTGCAAGATTTGCATTTCAAATGATATTTTCGAGCATAGGTTGATTTGTTAGTGCTTGGTTTAATGGATATTGTTAAAAAGAATTTAGGTTGTAAGGTTACATAAAGAATAGATCAGCAGATGAGTGCACCCTGCATACTAGTTGCCGTTCATTAATTTGCCAAATTATGAATTTGGACGGAAGGAATTGGTAAAATTCACCTTTTAGTTATCAGCACAACGTGAGACTGAGCTAAACATCGAGAGGTCAGGCACAATTTGGGTGCCTATGCAATTTTGTTGTTATCTTTAGCATCTAAGGGGAACAGACCGGTAATGAACCGTAACTGACAATAGTTGTTACAATTTAGTAATATCTTACTGCTAGCCTATGTTATGTTTAAGATTAGTACTACTTAATATATAGCAAGTGGCCATTGTCTGCACTGAGATAGATTGTTATGCAGTCTTTGCAATTATTATTACCATATGAAATGCATATAATTATTGCGAAGCAGCTGTAGCCTTCTGTACTTGATTTTGGTACAGGCTGATGTCTATATTGACCATTTTTATTCCTACCATAGACATTTGCACTGACTGAGTGACTAGTTTACATGTTTCTCCCTATGCCTGGGTGGGTTTCCTCCAGGCACTCTGGTTTCACCCAACAACCCAGAATATCCACCGAAGGTCAGATCCTCCAGCTATGATAGTCCTGACCAAGCTGATGAGGAGATGGCAACTGACAGGTTGCTCCATTGGCACTGGTTAAAGGATGGGTCAAATGTAGAGAATGAATTTCCCTCACAGGGAAATGAGTACAAATGAGTGTTTAATTGTAATTCCTCTCTCAGGTCACTTCACGTCTGCAGAGGATTTAAACCTGCTCATAGCCAAAAACACTCGTCTGGAGATCTATGTGGTAACAGCAGAGGGGCTGCGGCCCGTCAAAGAGGTGGGCATGTACGGAAAGATCGCAGTTATGGAACTCTTCAGGCCCAAGGTGAGTACTGTCTGCTGAACCCATTTGCTCAGAGCTACGTAAACATTAATTGGTTCATAGGAGAATGGTAAAATTTAGCCAGGCATGTGTATGGAGCCTAATTAAAATGCCAAACGTGGCTACCGCGGTCACCTGAACCCTTGGGCGGTGTGATTGATCATATCGCGGTATTGCAATATTATGGTTACCTCAACAGCCCTAGTTGGTCCCTCATCAAAAACAAGACTGAAGAGGTTTTAGATGTCATCCATGCATGATTTCATATTTTAGTGATCTCTCCCAGGCCCTTTTCACCCTCCTCATAGTTAGCTGTAAAGTTCTGTGCACTGTTTAACCCACAAGCCTACATCCCCCACTCTCCCCACACAACAATTCTCATAAATATACAAAAGCATGAACCAAAACTGTACACAACAACTTAACACCCCGATGCAATAGTAGTAGTAATGCAGTAGTTTAATTAGAGGGATGCCTGCTGATTGTGTTGTGATAGTGCTCTAAAGGGGTGAGTGATTTAATGCTGAGAGCAAAGGGAGGGGACACTCAGTGTCAAAAACAAATGTAAAATTTTAAAACATGTTAATTTGTTTTCAGCAGATATATCATTCTCAGAACAATAAAAAGTTACATGGTGATCTAAATATGTTACGTGTTAGCATGTGTTCATATTCCATAGAAGTAAAATCCCCCCCCCTTTAATGACTGTTTGAAATATGTCCCCTATAACCCCCAAAATGCACCTTCACCCAAGTAAACATAAAATATGCAAAAATATATTCTTTATTCATCCATCAGCTTCAAAGATGTGGAATATACAACCTATAGCAAAGCAGTTTATGTCTACTTACTGGGGTCTAGTGCCACAAAATCTTGTGAGACAGAGAGAACTTATCTTTTGAGTTTTTCTTTTTTCTTTTTTGCATTTGAATTGAACAAAAAATTGATTAAGTTCTAGCGAGTTACATTTCTGGAGAAACCGTAGTTTAAAAAACAATGCCATAATGAGAGCGAAAATATTAAATTAAATAAATAAAAAATGTTGAGGCCAATATGTTAGAATCTCATCTTGTCTTGTGCTCATGGAACCCATCTTGTGTTTTCAATTACCTCCCCTACATTACAACTTTTTTTTTTTAAATTGAACCTTGTATACTTGTTTTTGTGTTGTCTTTAGGGTGAGAGCAAAGACCTGCTGTTCATCTTGACGTCCAAGTATAACGCCTGCATTCTGGAGTACAAACAAAATGGAGACAGCATTGACATAATCACACGCGCCCACGGGAATGTACAGGTGAGTGAAGCAGGCAGACAAGCAGCACTTCTCATAGACTTCTGTAGTGAATTGTACAGCAGTGGTTGTGCTTGAGGGTAATTGCAGTCCATCATTGTGACTGACAGGTTGTTTACTGTACAGTCTGCAATAAGGACATACACTGGGTCTTAAAAATGCGTGTCTGCGGTATACATGGACATGTGCAAAAATTGTGTGAGAAAAATCGCTGTAATAAAGGGGTGTTGTGAAAATGAAGGAAATATGGAAGCTGTGTGCTGTCTGTGGCGGCGGGAATTGGTGATGTGGAGAAAGTGCAGTTTTAGTGCAGGCTCAGCCCAATACGTCCAAGAGAGCAGTGGTCAAAGCTGTCAAACCCATCAAAATGACAGAGGCTACGTTCAGACTGCAGGGCTTAATGCTCAATTCAGATTTTTTTGTGAAATCCGATGTTTTTGCGAGGTCGTTCACATTTCCAATTAAATGCGACTTGTCTGTGACTTCAGTGTGAACGGTAAACGGCCCGAAAGTGTCCCGCATGCGCACTGGAGGACACGATGACGTCAACCCCATGCGTCAATCGCAGCGAGCGTGCTCTTTGTTTACGGAAGTTGTCCAAATATGGTCGCGAGCATTGAGCACCTGGCGATTTTACAGTTCCGGTTTCCGCCTGCTTCAGCGCAGAATAGTGACGTTTGTCGCTTGTTAATGACGTGTAGGTCGGATGGATGCGCTTTGGCCGTTCAGACTGAAGTCGCATGTCAAAAGATCAGATATGTATCGGATTCAGGACCACATATCCAAATGGCCTGGGTCGCATTTGAAAAATTCGGATCTGTGCCATTCAGACTGTCATTAAAAGATTGGATACAGGTCACATAGAAGCCAAAAAATCGGATTTGGGTCACTTCAGGCTGCAGTCTGAACGCAGCCAGACTGACTTCAAAATTTTCTTGTAACCTCTGTTGTGTAGTGAGTAGTAATATGATGTTAAGGTCCAGCTTGTTTTTAGACTGCAGACAAAACACAAAATGTAAGTAAGCAGCAAGAGTTTTTGAATATTAAGTTAGTTCTCAAATGTTATTTTTAATCAACATTCCTTTATTAGCCAGAGACGGTGATATTTCATAATAAATAAATAATTAAAATAGAAAATAATATCTAAATGCACACCTCATATAACCGTGTATCCATATTGGTATTGATGGATCACTTCAATTATAATTCCCTGAGTTAGAGAATAGTTCTACTGGTCATCTTAAAACTGCTCTTGTGCTCCAGGATCGTATTGGCCGTCCCTCAGAGACAGGCATCATTGGGATAGTGGACCCAGAGTGTAGGATGATTGGTCTGCGTCTGTACGACGGCCTGTTTAAAGTCATCCCTCTGGACCGCGACAACAGAGAACTCAAAGCCTTCAACATCAGACTGGAGGAGCTCCAGGTGATCGATGTGCAGTTCCTGTACGGATGCCCCGCCCCCACCGTCTGCTTCATCTACCAGGTATCCGACACACTCTTCTCTGTGTTAGTATTCAATTTTAGGCCATTAGATGGAGTCTGTTTCAGTTTCTAAAATCAAAGATACCAGTGCCTTAATGTGCACAAACTCAAACTAACTAACTAACTAACTAAATAAATAAATGATAATTGTGAACTATAACAATAATTTTAAAGCTATTTATTACACATTTCAGTTTTTCATTTTGTTTTGTAAAGTGTACATAAATAAGCAGTTAATCAGTCAAATTAGTATGCATTAAAACACACTGGGGGGGAAAAAAGTGCGATGAAGCTCAAATTGCACTGTCAAATTTGAGTAATCTATTACGAACTGGATTTTAACACTTTATATTTGTTTTGCATGATTCAATGAACGTATTTCCCCTCTATGTTGTGCTATTAATAAATGCATTCTGAATCAAAACTCCACTCTGCCATGTGGCTAGGTCATACACTGCGTGGGCTGTATTTTCCTCGTAGAACTTGCATCAGTAAAATGGAAGTGAACATTGAGGCTAATGCTGTGTGCAGGATCCACAGGGACGTCACGTCAAAACCTATGAGGTCTCACTGAGGGAGAAGGAGTTCAACAAAGGACCCTGGAAACAGGAGAATGTGGAGGCCGAGGCTTCTATGGTCATCCCAGGTGAGCGCAGCACTGTATGATACATTTACTGTACATATAGAAAGTACAGTAGGTATTCTAATCTTATCACTCTATAATTTAGATCGGACAAATGCTATATGACTCATGGGGATAACATCATTTCTAATTAAACACTACTTGAATACAAAAATGCCTTTATTTATTTTCCCAGTGATTATAGAATATTAAAGTGTATTTGACAGATTCATGTATTTTTAGATTTGGTTGGTTTGGACTTGGTTTGGTGGGATAGTACCGTGTGTTGGGAATTTTATCGTAGTTTTACATCAGTTAAGTGGCAGTTTGTGGTTTTATGAATCAGCCTCGAAAAAGATGGCTGTGTCATTGGCATGCCTTTCTTCAAAACAATGACACGAAGTAACAGTATAGTTTAGTTTTGGATATTTCATGGCAAAGTACAATGTAATTGATAGGGAAATCTGCCTATTAAACCTGTGCTTTAAGCCTTAGCTTCATGTTGTATTTCAGTGCCAGAGCCATTTGGAGGCGCTATAATCATAGGACAAGAGTCTATCACATACCACAATGGAGACAAGTACTTGGCCATCGCTCCACCCACCATCAAGGTAAGAATTACACTTAGTTGTATTTGTTTTTGTGAGTAGTCTGAATTCATTATTCATTATTATTACTGGCACTGTGATTGGAAAAATATAGTGTAATAATAAATCTTTTCTTTTTGGATATTTCCTATGACGTTAATGCTTAATCCAGGGATTCTATGTTTCGCTTTTGAGTAAGGACTGTGTGTCATATTTACAGTATTTTAAAGTACTATCAGATACAAAATCTGCATAAATGAATCTCTTTGTATATTAACTCTACCCTCACCGTGACCATGCATTAAGTTCAATCCGATGCACATTTTTAGAACATCTTTTTTTAAGATGCTGAAGTGAAACAAGTGTAGATAGTTCAAGCACAGCCAATCAAAGCTCTGCCTATGTCATAATCTAATCATTAATTTAACACACGTTATGTCAGTGTGTTAAATTTAAATTTGTTGTAAAACCTGAGCTTTAAACTGTGCTAATCAGTGAGTTTCTCTGTTAAATTAATATTTAACAGCCCAGTCCCAGAGCCGCTCATTTCCACTGTCCCACTTCTATAATTAACCTAACCACTGTGTCTCTGCTTCTCTGTCACCTCCAAATACATTTTACACAAAGCTGCCAGTGATAAAACAGGATTATCCTCCAAAAAGGATTCTAAATGTTCAAAACTTTGAAAAAAAAAAAAAAAAAAAAGGACTGCAATAAATAAAGAAATAACAGAATGCAGCCCTTAACAAATTACATTGTATGGTGTTAGTTTATAATTCAAGCATATACAGCTAAAATCTTTTTATATTGCAGAAAAATAACCAAAACTTCCCTATGTAGTATGAACAAAAAAAGTACTCAAAATAAGTATTAATCCCCCAAACTAAAATACCCTGTTTTGTCTAGTGGATTGTGCTCACCAGATCAGTCACAAGTTGCTGCAGGGCCTATTGGGGATGAAAAAATATTTTGGACCGTCACAAAATATCAAATTAGTACTTTCTTTGCATAAATGAGTAGTTACGGTTAGGGATGGGCATGATTAGTCGATTAATCGATAATTGATCATTAAGAATTTCATCGATTACGTTCATTTTTATCGACAAACCGAATGTAGGTTGCTGTGCTGTGTGACCAAACGGGTCCGTACATGTAGCTCTCTGCACTCAGAAGGACACAGTCGGTCAGCCTGCAACATGTCGACGCACAAATACGTATTTAACGATGACTTCTACAAGAAATTCCATGCTTTCCGTTGTGGTCGTGACAAGTGTGAGGCCATGTGCACAGTGTACAAAGCAGCACATATGTTTCGGTGTCCAGTGGGAAAAAGTTTTGCCAGGTGAGAGTAGCACAATGTTGATGGCGAGTCCCCACCTCCCTCCCCCCGTACGGTGTCCTGGTTTTGACAAATGCAAATATGGTCACACTAACCTGTATTGCACTGAGTCGTGTCGCATCAGTGCACAAGAGCTGTTTTCTTTCCTTCGCTTAGTTTATGCAAATTAGCCATGCGGTTTTAAGTTTTGTTTCTGTGAGAGTTGCGCAAAACTGCATTAATGATGATAATTTTAATATAAAAACGTTAATGATTAATCGATAATCTATCGTTAATTCTTCCGACGATCGATTAAGAAAATTTCATCGAATGCCCATCCCTAGTTATGGTGCAGCAATAGATAAAAATAAATAAATAAAAAATACTGAGAGAACCATGATCCCTTGCTTTGTTTCAGTGAAGAAATAACTTTAAGCACTTTTAAATCTTAGGGCTTTGGATTGGATTATTTTTATTATTATATATGACAGAACCAAAGGCTTGTCGAGGCATTTTAAAAAGAAAAGTAGCATATACACATTTGTTATAAATATTGTACCGTGAGATGCGTATTGCGAAAGTATTGTACTGAGAGATTTGGATACATCCCTAGGCCCTATTCAAGTGACGGTGCCACCTGTAGCACTTTCAACCATTAAAAAGATGGAATAATTAGTTTTGAATGGTCCTCATTTTTCATCATTCTTAAACCCCTTGATTGTGGCTAATGATCTTTTGAGTGGTTAAATGGGCTAAGGGTAGATAAAGAGTTGAAGTTAAGAAAATCTATTCTGATGAAATCACTATGTGGAGTAGGGATGCCACAATATCACATTTTAGTGTTACAATTAAGGAAATCCTTGATAGATCACCATTCCTCTTTATGGGACCATCTTTCTGATACAAAGTTGTACAAATGTTACAGCAGCCAGATAAAAAAAAAAGTCAATCAAAAAGGTCCATATGCTATTTCAATTAACATAATCTAAAGAGGGGGTATTGTGCAAAATCGAGTTTTTTGGAGCTTTCTATCTTGTTGTACCATGTATGGTCCCTCTTCAAAACATGCCTGAAGAGGTTTTAGATGTTATCCACACATGTTTGAGTAGTTTTCCTGGGCCCTATTCGAAGCCTTTAACTTTTCATTGCCGTTTATCTAAAAAAAAAAAAAAAAAAAAAACTAATTTCCCTCGATTCAGATTTGAGTTTTGTCTAGTTGGTTGTGCTCACCAGATGTGACAAGTTTCTTCAGGGCCTATTAAAATGAAATGGAGGACAGCCAGAGTGTTGGTTAAAGCCTTTATTAATCCAACTGCAGATGCTTTGAGCTGGTTTTGTGGGTAAAGGCAGGGTCTATCACCAGAAGTGTCACTTTTGACCATTGAAAAGATGGAATAACAAATTTTGAATGGTCCTGATTTTTTCTTAATATTTTTTTCCATTCTTAAACCAGTTGGTTGCTGTTAATGCTCCTTGAGTGGTTAATGGGCAGTTGGGAAAAAAAAAAAAGTTGAAGCTAAGAAAACAGAAATTACCATATTTTCCACACTATAGGGCGCTCTGGATTATAAGGCTCTCTGTCACTGAATGGTCTATTTTCGAACTTTTTTCACATATAAACCGCACCGGAATATAAGGCACATTAAACAAAACACAACAGTTAGATAAGTCAGTCAAACTTTAATTAACACCTTCACAATAATTGTAACACATAAAAAAAATACTGTCTGAGACTCTAAATTATTAGAGTATTCACAATAACTCATAACTGTTCAAACAGTTGGGTGATTACGGTGTCCAGCACGCTCGCATCCCTCTCAACATTATCCGAGTCATTGTGGTTACTGTTACCTGGCAGTTCAGTGATGATTCCGGTCTTGGTGAAAGCTCAGACCACAGTTAATACTGATCCTTAGTCCAGGCGTCCATGATCCATTGGCAGATCATGGCGCAAGTCGCTCGGCGCTGTCTCTCTGTCTTGTGAGTAGTCCTGACTACGGAGCCGTAACTCTGCAAGTGGTGCGGCTTTGTTGTTTACTAAAGTTGTACTAAGACACCCAAATAAATTCATATATAAGGTGCTCTGGATTATAAGGTGCACAGTCCTTTTTTGATTAAATTAAAGGCTTTTAAGTGCGCCCTATAGTGCGGAAAAAAATGTACTATGTGGTGTAGGTATGCCACAATATTAACTTTACAATTAAGCCAGATAAAAAAGCCTGACTCGTGTGATATTTCCTTCAGCATGGCTTAAAGAGGGAGCATTATGCAAAACCAACTTCAGAGCTTTCTACCATGCTATAACATTGTTCTTTCATCAAAAACATGAAGAGCTTTTATGTTCCCCATGCATGTTTGAGCCCTATTCTAACCCTTACATCTCTTCATTGCCATTTCGCATAAAACATTCTAATTCTTCTCGATTGAAAATTCCTTCTGTTTTGTCTAGTTTATTGTGCTCACCAGATGACGCTGGTTGCATCAGGGCCTATTAAAGTGAATGTGAAAGGACAGCTAGAGAGTTAGTTAATACCTTTATTAGTTCAAATGCAAATGTTTTAAAGTGGTTTTGTGTGGGGATGTAACAATAATGGAAATTTGGTGATATTGTATTGTCATAAGTCTCATTAATATTGTGGGCATTCACAATATATCAAATCTCAAGTCTCTTTGCTTAAATTCATTGTGATGGTGCAGTAATGGCAAAAAGAAACAGGGAACTACATATTCCATAATTCTTTGTTCTGTTTCAGTCCAATTTACACAAAATAAAATAACTTATTAAGCACTTTTAAATCTTAATTCTTTAGATTATGACTGAACCAAAGGCACATCAGGGTATTTTGAAAGGAAAACAAAGCATATTCACAATTGTCTTAGCCCCCACAAAATATCGCAATAAATATCGTACAGTGAGATGTGTATCGTGAAAATATTGTACAAAGACATTTAGATATTGTTACATCTGTAGTTTTGCAATTAAAGGCAAGATAAGTTTTACTAAAAATAATTGGGCATCTGTGTAGTGGAGTAAACATGTTCAATTCAAATACTGATTTGATTTACCGTTTCTGAGCAAAATTGGTTTTGCCTCAGTTCCAGAAAATCGGGGTGCGTCATTAGCATGTTAGTTTTTAGCTTGAACGTGGCAACAAAACTCCGCTATGGCTTCTGAAAGTTAGATAGATGGATACTTTATTGATCCTTAAGAAAATTCAAAGCAGTCAGTCAGCTAAAGGGATGCGTTGTACAGATAATTAGAATGCTCTTAATTCATAATTTTAGTCAACTTTGAACTACTGCAAACTGTTTAGTGAACTAGTTATGTTTTTTATTAGGGGTGGGTCGAGACACAGTTTTCACGAGATGAGACACACCACACGAGACAAGATGAGATTTTGACATCATTTGTAATAAATAGTCAGTGCAATCAATTTCACAATTTTGACTTCACTATTTTTATCTGTTTTATGTACTTTAGTTGTACCATTGCTTTTTGGAACTACAGCTTCTCAAATTGTATAACTCACCAGCGCTTAACTCATTTTTGTCCAAGGCAAAGGGCAGTTCATGGGGAAAAAAAAATCTCACAAGGTCGTGTTTCTCATGTGTGCACGATCTTTTTGTCTCATGAGACCTTGTCCCATCCCTATTTTTCACATATTTAAAAAAGTTGTGTTACGCAAATATAGACTTGTCAGAGCAA